GACTCAGAGTTCACCAGCTGATCTGCTAACATGAGCTCTTCTTCCTCCTCCTGATTAGACGGTCGTACTGGTGGACTGGGAGAGATGACTAACTTTTCTTCTGCTTGTAGAAACTGTGTGAAGCACATGTTGGAGCTCTCAGCGTAATAATACACTTTATTAATATTTAAAGGTAGAACCAGCTGAAGTCTAAATAAAATGAGAATCAGGTCAAAGAACACGAGTTAAAACTGTAAAATGAACGAGAGCAAATAAAAAACAAAAAACACATCGAACGGTTGTGAAGAGAAGCAGCAACAGTTCATTGATCACAGAGTGAAAGATGAATCTTCACCAGAGTGCGACTGAAGTTCAGTGTTAATGCTTCAAACTTCAGCGTGTTTGCTGAAGTCACGCCGTCTTAAGGCTCCGTTTGAAGGACGTGGGTGTTGTTGTTGGACTTTTCTTCACTTTCTGATCGAACGTGTTTTTCATGTTGCTTCAGTTTGTCTTTAACGAGAACGAAGCGTCCGATCACACGTCTGCGTCCTCGTGTGTCAGCGGAGGAAACACAAACCAAGGATTCAGCTCACGAGGTCTCTGAGCAGGAAAACGTTCTGGAAACTCCCGACGCCGGAGTCCAGCAGCTGCTTTAAAGAGACACGACGGAGGAGGCTGACATCAGGACGGTTGTGGGGTCGACTCCCGTCACGGCCGGTCTCTGCTCCACACGTTCTTCATGGAGTCACCGTGAGCAGCAGCAGCAGCTCCATACGGGAACAGGTGGCCTCATCCTGCAGCAGGAAGGCTCAGCAGAGACTCCCAGTGTGGAGCTCAGTGCAGACCAGAGACTCACACATGAAGTCAAACTCAAACTCTGACCTAGAGGAGCTTTTGCAGCTCCTTCACCAGAATCACACGTCTGCTCTCGGCTCTTTGTTTTGTTCGTCTCATGCAGCTCCAGAGCTGAAAGTCTTCGGCCTGTTTTCAATTTTCTGCTGCTGCTGCATGTGTGCGCTCTCACAAAGAATGTGTGTCGCTGCAGATGCGTGGTTTTGTGTATTTTGGTGCTGTGTGTGTGTGTGCTGCTGCAGAAGGAATGTGTTCCTGTGATGACCGGCGACAGATGCTGCAGGCGACCAGGCAGCATCTGTGTGCATGAATGTGTGCGATTGTGTGATTGTGTATGAATGTTTATGCCGCCGGCCTCCAGAAAGGCTCCTTTGTGTGTCTGTGTGTTGACTACATGCCCACAAGGAATTCTGGGATGCGTGGGAGCCGAGGCAGCTCATAAAGGCAGAGGAGGGAACCGCGAAGCCTTCCCCTTTCAGCTCCAAAGTCCAAATTACTGAAAGAACAGAAGCAGGACGGAAAATATTTAGTTCTGTTTGTATGATTCGATTATCCACGTCGGCTGTAGAGGAACTCTGGAAGTTGGACCGTGTTCACATGGAGTCGGCTCAGTCAGTTTAGAAGTGCATTCTGTTCTGGTGACGTCAGGATCAGGGCGGATCCGGTTCAGCTCTGAACTCAGAGCGTCCTGCGTTCAGGCACACAGGTGTCCTACAGCCAGAGCAGGATGCTAATGTTCATGCTAGTGGATTCATCGACGACACAAAGTGAGCTCAGCATAGTAAAACCACATCTGATCACATGATCAACTGATCAATAAGCAGCTGATAACTTATTTATTTACATGAATGGGGCTCATAAAACGTGACTTTAGCTGCTCTGTAACATGAACTTCCTGCTTGGTCTGAAGTCATGTGACACCTGGATGATGGACACTGGTTCGTTGTGCGTCTCGTGTTTGAGTTTTTTTAGAGTTATTTTTTGGGCCTTTATTTGAGAGTGCAGTGAGGGAGAGACAGGAAGGTGGAGGAAGGACCTGCAGCAAAGGAACATGAGCGGGATTTGGACCCATGACCTCCTTGTTGGGGACTCCAGACCCTGTTCATGGGACGCCAGCTCAGCCAGGTGAGCTGTAGCGGCGCCCATGTTTGTGGTTTTTGTTGGTTTTTTATTTTTGTCTTTGTCGTCACTCGTCGTCAGTTTTGTGAAACTACGAGACATCCCATAATACTGATGCTAGCAGCTGCTGACAGAGGACATGAACAGAACCAGGTCCAGTGTTCAGACTGAGACACCTGGATGGATGTAGAACTGATCTGGTGTCAGGTTCTAGCAGAACCCAGATGTGTTCTTCCTCCTAAATGTCATGTGTCTATCTGCTGTACTGATGAAGTTCTGAGGCTCAGAAATGATGGAAAAAGTCCATTAAAGTGATCAATCTGGACCCTCCTCTGTGGACTTCAAGGACCTGGACCTGGAACATTCACAGTCTGAAGGTAGAACTCTGGTCAGTAGATAAAGGTGCTGCAGGATCAGAACCAGATGTTCTGAGGAGGTTTATCAGGTTTAGTTGGTTTTGTTGAAAACCTTTAACTTTGGTTTCATTGATTAAAAGGAACATGCAGAGAAGAAGAAAACAGAACGAGTGTTCGTGTGTGTGTGTGTGCGTGTGTGTGTGTGTGTGTGTGTGTGTGTGTGTGTTCATGTGTGTGTGTGTGTGTGTTCATGTGTGTGTGCGATCAGCTGTTCACACCAGCTGTGTTTCATGAGTTCTGCAGTAAATCATCTTCGTCTCGTCTTATTTGACTGAACGACGGCGTTCACGTTTTCATGTTGTGTGTGTGTGTGTGTTGGTGTGTGTGTTAATGTGTGTGTGTGTGTGTTAGTGTGTGTTGTTGTGTGACCTCGGCGTCGCCTCCTCACCCTGTTTTTAGTGGCGACCCTCCGTCTGACCTCTGCTCTGTCCGGTTCCAGATCGACTGACGGACTTTCAGACGTGGAAACTTTACGTGAATTACTTTGTGTGAACAGCGTCGGTGGAACCAAACCGCTCTCTGGTTTATTCGCTCAGAAGATCCTGGAAACAGGAGCCACAGTTTCAGCTTCTGGTGCAGAAAAAGTTCAACGTTGA